GTAGGGTCCTGTTTTAGGTCCCCCAAATAGTACACAAAGGACCCTAAAAGGGACCCCCGCCCACTTCAGCTTGTTACCCTTTCGCACCCTCTATGGTTGCTGTCATGGTGGTTGGTCGTATTGCTAAAGTGAGTATTACCAAGTTTTCTGCACGAAGCAATCCCAAAACCCTCAAGCCTAAGCGTCCGTCTACCTAATTTTGGGTATCTTTGGGGCTGAGTAGCGGCTTTGCAGGGTGCTATCGGGTCTATTGCAGGGTTTTTTTCCCTACTAGCCTCTTTTCTCAGCAGCCCCCTGTCAACGCCCTGCAAAGGAATCCCGAAACTGAAACCCTACATCCCCAACCCCGAAACCCACCCTGAACCCTGAACCCGAAACCGAACCCCCCCACTCGGGCCCTTTCAAGGGTTCAGGGTTTAGGGTGGTGCGAGGGAGCCGTAACACGATTTTTTGGGGGTTTTCCTTTAAAGGGTCCCTGAGCCTAAACCCGAAACCCCTACCCCCTAAACCCGAAACCCCTAAACGGACGCAGACCCGAATCTTGAACTCAGGAACTCTAAACCCCCAAGTCCGAAACGTCCTTAAACCCGAAACCCCACAGGTCCGAGAGAAGGCTCAGTGGGCCATCCAGTGGATGAACCGCCCCTCGTTCCGGTTTTCACCACTTCCCAGAATTTAACATTTTTTTTGTTTTGAGGCGTTGTTTTTGATTTGTTAGGCTTGCGGGTTTAAGGATGTTAGGATTTTCGGGCTTACGGGTTTGTTCAGGGTTTTGAGGCGCTTACGATACGGGTTTTATGTTCTTGAGCTTTGACTCCGACGGTACCTGAAGGACGTTCAATCTGTGGATTTGTCTTAGAGGTGTTGCAAAGTTGGGATGTAAGGCTTTTTGGGGTTGGAGAAGCAGCGGGTTCTTGGTTAGACAGTTATCCTTAAACCCTAAACCCCAAACCCCAAAACCTGCTACGCTTTCGGGATTGTAGAACCAGGGTTTCTCGATTAGATACGTTTCTGCACTACCTGGAGGCCCTCTTTAATCCTCTACGACTTTGGCATGGAGTCCAGTCTGTTGGGGGTCTAGAGTCTGCCCTAAACCCCAAACCCTAAACCCCTAAACCCCGAACCTTAAACCCCTAAACCCTAAACCCCTAAACCCTAAACCTGAAACCCCTACGCCCTAGACCCCTAAGCCCCTAAACCCTAGAGGGTTTGGGGCCAGGGTTGAGGGTCGAGGGGGTTAATATGAACTCAGTTTTTCTTTGTCCTTTCCCAGGATTAACCTTCACCTCCACAAGCCCTAAAAGCCCTTGGGGCTTGGCGCGCCTAGGGTTCAGGATTTAGGGTTTAGGTTTGTCATCGGCAGGTCTCTAACACGAACACCAATTAACAAATTAAGACCCAACGCCCTACACCCTACGCCCTGGGCCCCAAAAATCCTAAACCTTGAGGTTCTGCAGCAACCCCTGGTGACCCGAGCCCCAACGGACGACCCGATACTTACGGTTAAATATAGTGTAGTATAGCATGGTATAGTATAGTATACTACACTAAACTTAACTATGCTCTGCTCTGCTCTGCTCTGCTATACTAGACTAGACTATACTATACTAGACTACCCGCTTACTTTGGTGCTTCTCCAGAGTTGGAAGGCTTGGCTTAAGCAGGAGGAGTCGGAATCACTGATAAGAGTGTCCTCTGATAGTCCCTATATCATGATTCTATCACATACCCCCACACCCTGTTGACATTGTTGAGGCCCCTATAGTAGGCGGTTTCTTTTTTTTCGAGGGCAGGTGATGTTTTTTTTTTGCAGGTAGGGTTGAGGCAGCCCCAGTGCAAGATGCGTCGGATTGTAGCAAGGCAGCGGAACTATGCAGTTTAGGGTTTAGGGTTGCAGGTTTTAGGATTCAAGGTCAAAGCCTCTTTGTTAAGCTCCTGAAGTCGGAATCGTAAATATGATATGGACAGGCCTACACCCCAAGAAGGCTGTCCTAAGTTCCAATAAACTTGGACTGCACCCCCAAACCCTTTAAACCCTAAATCCTGACACCCCACGCCTAGACCCCCAAACCTTAAATTCTAAACCCTTCCACCCCAACATTCAGCCCTGCATCCGAGATCCATGCTTCCCCCAGCCTTCTTCCTTGACGCGCCCAAAAAACATAAGCACCTTCGAGAATTCTTAAGGCATCGCCGAGAGAACGCGTACAAACAGGTATAGGATCCCGTCGTGTGGAACCCATGATTCTCCGACAGCTGGAACTGTCATGGGCCCCTCAAACAGAACTGGGAGACTTCTCTTATAGAGCCCCCTCGTAGATGCCTCACAGGTTATAGAACTTTGTCAGGTCCTCTGATTCTCCGGAAAAAGAAAGCTTCCCTAAGCCCCAAATCCTCCCTAAGCCCTAAACCCTAAACCCTAAACCCTAAACCCTAAACCCTAAACCCTAGACCCCGAAGCTTCCCGAGCGAGGTGAGAGCAGCTTTGCCGAGCGCATTGTCGCCTTTGCGGCCGTCGAGGGAGCTGCTCGCAGGGATTATGACGGTTTAGGGTTTAGGGTTTTGGGGTTTAGGGTTTTATGGTTCGGGATTTCGATTTTAGGGTTTAGGGTTAGAGTTTAGCGT